ACCTCTCTCACCCCCCGCTCCGCTGCCCGCCGCAAGGACATTAATAGATTGCATACAAACAACGCTAATCCCCCAGGCGAGCCGCGCACATCGACGCCGCACGTGCTATTTACATGTGATAAATCAGATTGTTGGCTATTCATTAAAAAATGACCGCCGCTGCCCGTGAGCAGGGCGGGCTGCTCGGCGTGCTTCGCACCTCGCCCCCCGCGGCATGCGCACCGGAAACACAAGTGTGTGAATGTTGCACACTTGTATATCTGTAAACGCCATTTGTAAACATATGGTCACAAAAGTGTGAATTTTCAAAGCGCAGCGAGGAGGAAAAAAATTTTCAAAGGAAAATTCACACCTTTACTATATTAAGTGTACGAAAGGCATTCACACACCTACACACTACACCCTTATGCATTTTACTGTGCATAAAAATGCAGAATTTTATACAGCCATATGTATAAAATTCTGCATGCTTATGCACAATAAAATGCATAAGGATTTAGTAGTGTGCGACATTCACACACTCTTACGGTTCAGGTGTGGGGTGCATCCACGAAGGGCCTTTGGGCCACGTGGGTAGCTTACACTTAATCATCCCCGACAGCGAAGCCTTACGGGCGGGAAGCTCGCCAATGAAAAAAAAAACACAACAACGCATAGTCCAGGTGGCGGTACAGGCAACTGCGAAAACAACATCTATCTGGAAATAATGATAAGAAATCACGAGGGGCGAGCGCAACGAATGTTCGGCCTAATGCCGTTCGACTCTACACGAAGCCCTAATGGTCGGCCAGTGCGTCCCTAATTGAGCCATTAAGTAGCTCCCCCCCGCCCTTCTCTTCCTCCCCCGCAGCATTTGGTGGCTCGCGCGATCTTTTTCTTTTTCTTCTCTTTCCCTTGAACCAGAGCGCGACGGCGGCGGGCCCCCGCTGCAACAGCTTGCTGTGACACACAGGCCAATAAACTGGGCAGCCCGCCCACCAACTCCCCCAGCTCCACGACGACGTCCCGCCCGGACCCGCCCCCGCTCCCCGCCCGAATGTTTTCTAAGGTTTCGGTACAAAGCAATGGAGCCCGCCGAGAGCAGACGCAGCAAGTCAGCGTCTGCGCCGGGAGGGGGCACTCTGAGAGGAGCCCCAGCCTCCCATCGGCCCGCCCGGTCGAAAGCTACCCAAAGTACCGCTCCGACCACCAGAACCCCGTACCATCCCCCCTCTCTTCTGCTAGCGGTGGGGGACGAACCGACGGTTCCAGGGCAGCGAGGAGGAAAAAAGCTGCTGTGATTGGAATTTTTAATGTCATTGAGGAATGATTACAGAAGAAGACGACTAATCAGAGGGGACTTTTTCCCCCCCACTGCTCTCTCGCCGCTCTCGCTTTCGCGCACTCCTCTCGCCCGCTGCTGCGCCAACGCCAGCCTCCCCCGGAGGGATACCTACTCAAAATGTAGTTCAAACAGTTCAAATTTATCAATAAAATTACTGGAAAACAAAGGCGCGATACCCTACTTTTCTAGGGTGCATGTTTTCAGTTTTTCTAAAAGCTTTTATGTGTGAGGAAACCAATCTCATTTAGTGATTACTATCGCAATCTTAAAATTCCGCATTGAGCGAGGCTACATGTGATGTGGGCCTGATAAACGCTCAACAAATAAAAAGCAGTCAAAAACTCAAAAACTCAAAAAGGTACAAAAAGTGCACTTCATCTATGCCATGTTTTTGAGCAGAACTCCAATACATGGTATGGTGTTCGTTTGACGCGGAATTATGCGTAGATTACTACTTAACTTGGAATCCAATTTTGTTCCAAAGGAATAAACAAATAAACATTTCAAAGACACTCACTGTAATGCCTCTGGAGCTTTAATGCCCTTTAAAGGTTGGACATGTCACCTTTGCCGGCGGCGGGTTGGGCTCCCTTCTGATTGGCTTGCAGTTGGGGAGGGGGTGTGTTGAAGGGGCCGAGGACTCCCCGTTGCTGGCCCGTCTTCTGGTTTTCCGAGGTCGTCTTCTGTGACCATTTCCCCTCAGCATTAGCCTGGGCGCAGCGCTCACATCGTTCGGCGACAGTGTTGGCTTGCCCACAACTGGCGCAGAAAATCTTCGCTTTGCAGCCGTAAGACAA